TATGCAAGAATATAAACTATAATGTGGTAAAGTACAGACTCAATTACTCATCTGACACTGCATATATGAGTTCACAACTGATTCTCCTCCTTACTAAGTCATTATGAATTGCAAAATTGAAAAAGGTGTGAAAGACTTGTCATCTGTTTCTGATGCAATCTATATTCCATGCAAATCAAAGGTAAAAAAAAAACTTAGCTCCTATTGGTAGTCATCGACTTTAGGATCAATTGGGACCAGAATTTTGGTTACTAAACCTTGCAGTTGTAAAGCACGATGTTACATGACTGCATTGTTTAGTGACAGCAATACTGACAGTCCTAATTGCTATCCTAACTCTAGATGTATGTGCAGGTCATTAAGTGAGAAGTGGAGAGATCCAAGGGTAGGAATATGGAGGATGAGGACTGTGCAGACTGCCTACAAGGGGGTGCTGCAGTGTGGCATGAGCTCAGGAAGGCTGGGGCGCACACATATATGTGTACAAATGCAGGAAGGCCAGAAAAAACAACCGCTATTATAGCTCAGGGGCTTCTTGGAGCATTGTGGTTCTGGGGTTTCAAGAAACCCCTAAGCTGAATCAAAACTGCTGTCATTGAAAGCCTCACCCTGGCCCAATACCATGGCACAAAAGGGCTTCTTGGCATGCTGCAACCCTGGGGCTGGTTCAGGGGCTTCTTGTTGTGGCGCTTCAAGAAGCCTCATTCTGTCAAGCTGCTGGACCAAGCCTGTAGCTCTGGGGCTGGAAGAACCCCTAAACCACAGTGCAAAGCCTAACCCTAGCCCCACCCAGCAGCATGGTATAAAGGGGTTTCTTGGTGCACCACAGGTCTGGTACACCAAGAAGCCTCTAAGCATCATGCTGTTGCTGAGCCGGGACTGAAACTCTGAGCAGCAGCATAGTGCAAAGCCTTTCACACAAAAAGCTCAGTACAAAGGGGCTTCTGGTGCACCATGGCTCTAGGGTTGCAAGAAGCCTGAGTACAGTGTGAAGTCCAGCCCTAGCCCAGCCCACATCTGTCCACCCTGGGAAGCCACAGCTGCAATTGTCCTGGCCACCTTGTATTTTATGGTTCCTGCTATCCTGTGCTCTGCTGTCCCCACCTGACCTTTCTCCAGCTGCTGATGAGGCGTTTCCAGCCTGGTTCCAAGCAGTTGCTGGCTGCGTGAGACCATTTTCCACACGTCTCACAAGGAAGCCATTGTGCACAACCTGGGGAAGAGAGTCTCATGTGTTCAGCAGCTGCCTTGCAAAGGGTCAGGCTGGCATGCTTGGTCAGCAATGGAAGAAAGATGGGGAAGGTCAGCTAGGGCTGCAGAGGCTGCATAGTGTAGAGAGCCAAAAGGACATAGATGGGATGGGATGGAGAGATAGTGGCTGAAGGGAGCTGAAGCAATCCTGCAGGCGTTTAAGTGCCGGCACGCTGTCAAATGCCTGAATTTGGATGACACGACAACAGGGGCATTGCCACAGTTGTAAGTTTGGGGACCAGTCTTAAGGCCCTTCATTCAGCAGGGTTATAATTTTGAATGGTCACTGAATGAATGGTTATAGATCAAGGACCAACTGTATCCAAGCAAGTGTGGAATACAGATTAAATATACAAAGTTACTGTATTATCATATTAATTAGTTAATTAGTTAATCACGCAAACATTATTTAAGTTCTAACTGAATATTACTAATTTAAAATAAAAGGGTGAAGGTAAAGGTTTCCCTATCCAGTCATATCCAACTCTAGGACACAATGCCAAGGGAGCCAGCACATTTTCTGTGGTATGTGGCCAGCATGCCCATATGCCAAAGGCGCACGTGACGCTGCTTCCTTCTTACCTAAGTAGTACCTACTGATCTACTCGCATGTTCATGCAATGCTCGAGTGTTGAATCTGAGCTGTCAGCTTTGCAGCTGACAAGCTCAGCGTCTCTAACCACTGATATACAAAACAATTTGTATCCAAACTGGTCCAATTACTTTTGGAGAGTTTTAAACCTCAAATACCACCACTTAGTGTACTGTTTCAAGCTCAAAACACTCCTAAAAGAATTGAAATAACCATTTTGCAACTGAAATGGTGCATTTCAAATCGGAGGCAATTTAGACTCAAAACATACTGCACATCCCTATATGCAAGATACACTTTTTATGTTATATGAAAAAAAAGAAATGGATCAACAATTAAATTCTCTTTCTGCTCTCTGCCAGATATCTAGAGATGTGACATTGGGCACCGTTTAGTAATATATCTTCGTTAATATTCAATCCATGAAGGTACACCTGACATATCTAATGATGCACTAAGCTGTTTCAAAGTGAAATTTTATCCAACCGTAGTTTTACACATTGAAAACATAACATACTTAGACCATGTGTGAAATGATCATTAGTAATCTTAATAACAAGCACAGTTAAAACACAGAACAAGAGAAAGATCTCATTAAAAACCAATACTGACATAGGATAAATATATTATCAGCAAAGATACCCAATGTGACACAAAATGTTACTTAAGCTGCTATCTGCCTGGGAAATACTACCTTCTTTATATTCCACTTCTGGAATAAACCTCTTTAAGTCACTTTCTCAAACACAATGCATGCTAATCTAATAAACAAGCATATCAAGCCAATAATTAAAAATAAATACAAAGTACTATTTCACATTGATAAAAACAATAAAAACCTATTAGGAGATATTATAAAAATGCCCTTAAGGAATGACATAAACAAGTTAAATCAACAGTCTATAGTCATTTATGAAATAAATGAATAAACTCAATTTCTAGCAAGGCTTTAAGGTCTTATAATAAAGAGCAAGCCTCTCCTTTCCCTTTTTCTAAACAACAACAAATCCTATGATAAAAATGAATACTAAAGGAAAAAGCAAGGCACATCATCAGAGCTATATTTTGTGCCACTAATGAAAAAGAAACTTGTTTTAGAACGAAGACAAAATTAAAATGAGATTTTTCATTATACCAGTGTATGTAGACCAGGCGTGTCGAACTCAAGGCCTGGGGCCCGGATTCGGCCCACAGGGTGCTTAAATCTGGCCTGTGGGGCTGCCCTGGAAACAGCAAAGAACCAGCCCACGGTGCTTCTGCTATCAAAAACGGAGGTTGTGAGGGCTGCATGCAGCCCTCCCAGGCTTGTTTTTTTTTGGCTGTGACGGTCTCCTGCAGCCCACTGCCAGCAAAAAAAAAAAAAAAACTACTAGCAAAAGTGGCATTTGATCACACGAGTGATGTTGAGCTGGCCATGCCCCCCCCCCTCCCCAAGTCAAACACAACCCTGATGCGGCCCTCAATGAAATACGATATGCCTGATTTAGACTAAGTAAGGATTTGTGTCTCGGGTCTGTATCAGTGTTTCATCAATACGACTTCAAAATTTATAAACAACAAGAGGTTTAATGCAGAAATATAAGCCAAAGTCAGCACTAAAAAAATAAAAGCAGCACATATTTTTATTAATCTGCTGCACAGAAAGTTTCATTGCAGAATTGTGATTCTAAAGAACCTGTTTTTTAAAAATATATGGCAGCTTAAGAAAGGATACATGAAATAATATCTATATCTGAAATTAAATTTAAAACAAAAAAAAGCCATTGTAAAGTCCCTATCACTTCACCAACATTAGTTTAAAAAGTCTATTTATATTATTTCCCTTTCTCTTTTATGAACCAACACAGAGCCAAAACAGAAGCCTTTTTATAAAAAAAGCATACTGTACAGTAAAATTCCACCTATTTCACTAAATTTCAGATAAATTTCCTTTCATGCAGCTGGTTTTTGTGACATAGTGTATATTGTTCAAGAAAGCAACCAATTCCTCAACTTTCTGAAGAAGGTTCTCAGACAATGAACAGGAGGAAAAAGAGATAAAGGGGGAAAATGGTTGTTTGAGCAGACTTCCATTTTAAAAAATCAGACTCAATTAAATATGTCTATTCAGAAAACTAGTTTGGTATAATGTTTAAGGCAACAGGCTAGAAACTGGGAGACTGTTGAGTTCTAGTCCCACTTTAGGCATGAAGCTAACTCAGTGACCTTGGGGTCAGTCACTTCTACTCAGCACTAGAGAGATGCAATGTCAAGCCACTTCTGAACGTTGCCAGTAGAACTGCAGAGACTTGTGCAGATAGTCACCAAGAATCAAAAATGGACTTGAAGGCACATTCACATTTGGAATAGTAACTTAATAGATAAAATCTCAACTATTCTTTGAATTGGCCAATACTTAAAAATGTTATAAATGCCAAACATCTACAAAATTAACAGTGTACAAGATTTTATGTATTTTAAATACTTATTCATTAAATTGTAAAAACTGTTTATCTCTGAGAGAATTAAATAACCATGTATGATTTTTTTGGATTATGCAAATACCAAACTTTCAATTAAAAAAAATTACACACACAAGTATAATCTTAATGTTATTTTACAAACAATGTTTATATTTTGAATTATGTGAAATCTATAAAACCTCTCATAGCTAATATCAGTTAATATAAAAATTCTGTATGGCAATACAAATATAATTGCACTGCTTTGCCTATTTTCCTCAAAAATTATTTTTTCTACGTTATTTTTCTTACACACACACACACACACATGCACGCACGCACACACACACAGAGGCTTATATCTATTTGTTTTTTCTTTAAAACTAGTTTAATGTTCTGTTATTTTAGGTGATAAATCATTGTTTCTCTTAGCCTGTGAATTTAATTCATGACATATAAAACTGTATTGGCATCAATTATAAAACGGTTCTGTAAGGTTAAATTAATTACAATGTATAATGTAGTTCATATCAATTATATGGCACTTGTTCAACATATTTGATCCAAACTGGAAGATTTCACATACAGATACATACATATTACTTTAAATACAAATACCAAAATTAAAAATCAAAAGACCAAGCCAGTACTAAAAATACATTTATTTATACAGGAAACAGGTATGGGACTGAGTCTTTAAATAATCTGCATCTAACCTGTTTCTGAATCTTCACTGTCGGAGGAGCTGGACTCACTGGTGCTCTCAGACTCTGAAGAGGAGAATCCCTTCATTTTAGAGGAACCAGCAATTACATCCACTTTCTCTGCTGCAACAAGGTAATAGGCATTGTCATTGGATCAGACAATAATCCAGAATCTATTTTTGTGCCATGAAATATTCCTATTAAATATCAGATGTTTGGATATCTGCTCATAACCACAACAGCTCTTCCTTTTACTTGCTCCCCAATCTAGAGCATCCCAATCTTTCAGATATAGATTACTCTGAAGTGGGTAAACAGAATTCATTCCACTGACAGATAGCTCTGTCTGTCAGAACATAGATGCTCTTTGAATATCATCCCAAGAACTATTTTTCACATAAAAAGTTTCCACAGATTGGTATGTTTTCATTAGGTTAATGAAGCACTGATTTCAGAAGAACAGAAAATCTTTCTGATCCATCCATTTTCTTGAAAGCACAAGAACAATTCAGTTTGCTATTTATTGCTTTAGGAAATAAGGGAATAGGAGTTTGAAAATTTGAAATTCTCAAATAATTTAGCATGTTCATGCTCTTACTATTTTGAAATCTTGCTCTCCCAGTTGTCATTAACTGATCACACAAGTCATTAAACAGAGAATTGGGAAGAGGACCTTCTCTCTGCCCTGGTATGCCTGGGAAGTCCAGGTCCTCTCCCCATCCCACCATGTCCAGGAAGCCTAGGACTCTCCCCACCTCACTATACGCAGGTCCACTTACCTTCGATCTTTTCTGCGGAGGCTTCATTCTTGCCATTGTTGGAAGGTTTCTTCTCCAAACTACACTGTTTGGAGAAGGGGGCTTCCAAACTATTACGGGAAAAGATTAGAAAAATATTTCTAGTCTTTAGAACAATGGCATTTGCTAGTTTTTCAGCACTCTTCCATGTGCAGAAGAGAAACCTTCTGCCAAGCTGCAGAAATGGGTGCTCAGATCTTCAGGATCCAAGTACCATTTCTGCAGCCTAGCAGAGGGGCTGAGCAATCCACCGTGCGTGGAAAAGAACTCCTCTGTCACGCTGAAGAAATGGGATCAGATCTTCAGATTCTGAGCAATCTTTCCACAACCTGGCAGAGGGAGTGAACTCCTTTTGGCAGGCAGTACTTTCCAGTCAGCCATGAGAGACTAGTCACCACAGCAGGTGGTGGTAACTTGCACGCTTCCCTGCTGGTTTCCCATTGACTTTCTGGAGAAGACAGAAGAGAAGATTGCAAATGATAATCACCCGATTGCAGGGCACTTGGCAACCTGTCATAAATGTAAACAGATTGCCAAGTACCCAGAGTGCAGTCATGTGATAATGTGAGGGGGAGAGCGCGTTTTACAATAGCCAGAAGTCTTTACGAATCATAAAGCAGCCTTTCTGAGGCTGCTGTAACTTTGAACTGTTGTTAAACAACCTGTTATATGTCAAGAACTACCTGTTTATTGTTCTGGAAAAAAATTAATTTAATTAGCAATAGCATTTAGACTTTACAGACCTCTCTAAGCCAGGGGTCTCCAATCTTAGCAACTTGAAGACTTGTGGACAAGCAAAGCTGGCTGAGGAATTCTGGGAGTTGAAGTCCACAAGCCTTCAAGTTGCTAAGGTTGGAGACCCCTGCTCTAAGCGGTTTAAAGCGTCAGCATATTGCCCCCAACAATTTGGGTCCTCATTTTGCCCACCTCGGAAGGATAGAAGGCTGAGTCAAACTTGAGCCTGGTGGGATTTCAACTGCCAAATTGTAGACAGATGGCTGCAGAAGTAGCTTGCAGTACTGCACTCTAACCACTGCGCCACAAAGGCTAATTGCTGGAAAAGGTACAATTTCAAAATGAATGACTCTTGCATAAAGTTTATCATGCTCCAATATTAGTATATTTTCTATCTCTGCACCATAGAAAGTGATTTAGTACATACAGCTGGAATTTGAAACAACTATTCTGAACTTGAAAAATACCTTGCGGTTTCCTTTTTTTCCGTAAACAAGATGTTACATATCGCTCCAGCTCCCGCAAAGTAGACGCCTTTAATGTTTCAAAGTCAATTTCAATCTCATCAGGATTGGAGTTTTTGAGCGAGGGTTCTCTTGATTGGATGATATGGACAACTCGGCCTAATTTTTCACCAGGGAGCTTGTTAATGTCCAGGCTCAATTGTCTTTTTTCTTCATAAGACATTGGCTTACATTTCTCCTCCTCCTCAGACTCATAAACTGGAGGTGGCTTGGTATTCTTCACAGTCACAGGCTCCTTCTTATTACTTTAAAGAACAATTGTAATGCATTATTATATGAAACAAAGTGATTCTCTAATTTCATACAAAGATGTTATTCTAGAATGTATTTAAATTTATTAGCATGGTGTTCTACATTCGCAAAGCCACGGTAATGTCTATTTTAATGAGCTATAGCTTAAAAATCCAAAGTTTAACTTTCAAAAATTATTAGGTAACCTTTGGCAAGCAATTAGAACAGCAATGCAAATCATATAGGAGGCAATCCATATTTAAATATCTTCTGAGCATTGACACAGATATACTTAAGAGGATCAGAAAAGACTTTGAAGTAGCTGAACTGAAGTTGTAAGGATTGTGCCCACTTTTATATTTCAAGCTGCAGATTTAGAAGGGTCTTTTATAAAATTCCTGTATAGATGACTAGGCTGAGTCCAAGGGCAGGGTCAAATGACTAACAATCAAGACAAATTGGCGCTAGGTAAGAGTTAATGGAATTCAAAAGGGGTGGTGGTGAACTTAGCATCTCTTGTGAGAATATAGTGACTCCAAAATCATGGAATCAATGAGTGGAACAACTTGCCTCCAGACATTCTGGGTGCTCCAACACTGGAGGTTTTTAAGAAGAGATTGGACAAATATCTGAGATGGTATAGGGACTCCTATTTGACCAGGCGGTTGGACTAGAACAGGGGTCCCCAACTGCCGGTCCGCGGACCGGTACCGGTCCGCGGAACAAGTCTTACCGGGCCGCTGGTTGCTGGGCGCCGCCATCTTTTTTGTCAAAAAAAGATGGCGGCGCCCAGCTGATGCCGGTACCGGGCCGCGGCATCAAAAAGGTTGGGGATCACTGGACTAGAAGACCTCCAAGGTCCCTTCCAACTCTATTATTCTGTTATTCATTTGGCCCTATCCTCAAACTCAGCCTGGTCATCTCCTACAATTTCCTTCTAAAAACCTCTGGTAACCCTACCTATTTAACAGACATACAATTTAAAAATACCAGTCTCACCTACACAGCTTTGGTGAGATAATTTGACTTTAAATGTCAAATCTTTAATATGAGTTCCATTTTCTGAAAGCACAAAAAGTAAATAGAGCTACCTGAATTAAAACAAAATACCTGTTTCTTATGCAATACCCTGCATTTCACATATATTATTAAGGCTAAAATAATAGAAATACTTCAGCCTGAAAAACATGATCCAATTGTTTCATCACTAGAAATGTATTCCCAGTAGGATCAAAATTATTCTCAAGGTAAAGTGCTGTCATATTTATGCAATAATATGATCACAGGAGAATAATTTACATTTATAGTATGTAGCTTTAGATTTGTTTGTAAAGCCAATGTAAAACCAGCTTTTTGTGTTGTGATGTTCTAACCAATGAATTAGGAGGTGGATGGTTGAATAGAAAGGAACAACAATTTTCCTGTATGTAATTTCCATTTCGTTAAACAGGCAGGTGAAGAATGACATCTAATATGGTTTGTCCCTTGAACCTCTTTAAAATGAATGAAACATTCATGGATAAACACATCCAGACCACAACTTTTAGAAACTGGTGTTGCTGAGGTTAAACTAAAACTGAAACTGTAATTCCCAAGGGCATGCATAGACAATTTTTATTCTGAGAATGTTTTGAAGAATGAACTGTGCATTGTAATACAACAATTATTGTAGTGAGAAAAGCCTCCTATGACTGTAATTTTGCTTCTTGATTGAAGGGGTCCCAGTTTTTTGTTTTTTAAACTAACAGATTCTAAGGCCTATAGGAAATTTGGGGGAAAATGTTCTAGTATGACTAAAGGACTGCTTGAAATTGGACCCTCTGAGAGCAGAAAAAGTGGATATAGCCAGAATCAATTTATGTAACAAATGAATGACCCTTGCAAAGATGAAGCTGCAGTAATAGTTTCTTTAAAAATTTCTCCTGTATGCGCCTCTTTGAAATGCTTTTTACTACTGTAGTACACTGAATTGACTTAGGGATAGAAGCCTAAACTATCTCTCAAAAAGCGGAAACAGAACTTCTACTTGAAGTGAGGTAAAGGGCACTACCCAGACAGCTTTAAACGAAGTCCCATTATTCACAAAGAAAGAATTGTCATTTTAAAACTATATTCTAAGCCTTAAGAAATTAAAATAATTTACCAGTATTGCAAATTTCAATTGTATAAGCAAGTAATATTCAATTCCACAGAGAACTCTCAAAGTCCTACTGTAGAATTAAGACCTTTAATATTAAAGAACACATTTGCTAAAACCAAAATTGTACTTACACCTCAGTTAGCTGAAAACCAAGAAAGCATACAGTATATAATTTTGGAAACTTAAGGTCAAATGCATGGCAGCATCCTGATTTAAATTACAGAGTTTCTAACCATATAATAATTACCCTTATTATATGGCTAGAAACAGTGGTGTGCAAAATGTTCAAACCTGTAATGTTCTGTATTCAAAACTCTAAGTTTTAATAGCAGGTCTGACTTCACCAAGATACCAATATTTCAGGACTGATCCAAGCCTGAAACATTTGTTAAGGTCAGAATAACTGGTTTGTAAGTGTTTTAAATCTGAAAATTTTGGCACACCTTGTTTAAAATTATGTAAATTCTACCAGGAATTTAGATAGACAAAATAAAGAAGTTCTGTTATACTTCTAAAAACACCCTCATACTACAGATAAAGCTTAAAAAAAACACCCTACAGATTGGCATATACATGAATATAAAGAGGGAACTGACCTTGAGCTATTGCTATTCCCATTATTCTTCTTAACCTTCTTAGTTGGTGGATCCTTGGCTTTATTTTTTTTATTTTCTTCTACTTCTTCTTTCTTTTTGTGCTTCTCTTTTTTCTTTTCTTTCTTGTCTTTCTCTTTTTTCTTTGGTTTATTCTGTTGTGGCTGTGACAGGGCAGCCAACTGTTCATGCACTGCTTTAAGCTAAGGAGCAGACATATATATCAATACAATTTTCTTTTTTAAAAAAATGTTTGTTTTACTTCCTGTCCTATGATGTGATGACACCACACTCACTTTGGTGTGCAACTAATTGGTTTTTTCAAAACACCTCAGCTATATGTTCCTTAGTGCTGTGCATGCTTCAAAAATGATTTACAGTTGCTTTGGACCCACACCAAGCAGCCCAAGTGTTTCCAGGTCTCTATGCAAGCCTAAAAAAATTCCACAGCTTCAAGTGTTACACAAATTTTAATATGTCCATACTTTAAAGCAATGCCATTTTTTCCAGTCAAAAACCTGAAAAAATGAACGTGTTAGTGCATCAAGTGCATCAAGACAAAGTGCTTGATGCGCTATTTCCTGCCAGTATGAAGATTTCTGCGGTATATTCAACAACAGGAAACTTTGTAAAGAAGAACTAAGGGAAGAAGCTCATAACTAGATGTATGAAACAGTAAGCTAGAGTGGCTAGTTTTCTTTTGTTAGCTTGTTATTCATGTATGTAGTGAAACATTAAAAACTGGAAGGTGTGGGCTAGAATAGGGGTTCCCAACCCTATGTCTGTGGATCGACACCAGTCCGCACCATGACAGAAACTGGGCCGCACAAACAAGCAAAGCCCCATCCGCAGGATGCTGACAGCACACAAAACCGTGCCCCCTAAAAAACTTCTGTCCATGGAACCGGTCCCTAGTGCTCAAAAGGTTGGGGGCCACTGGGTTAGAGCTGTATATGTATAGTGGGTATGGAGGGAACCAAGCAAAACTTGGTCCCACATTCAAAAACTAGAATTAAGCAAGTAACTGGAGAAAAGAGGATACAGTCAGGGTCAAAAGCAGGATACACAAACGTTTTACCTGTTCCTGGAGCTCTGCTAGTCGCTGAGCTCGTTCTTCTTCAGAATCATCTGATGAACTGTCACTATCAGAAGAACTATCACTGCTGCTGTCACTGGATGATGGTGGGGGCACTTTGGGTTGTGGCTGCACTACTACTGGAGAGGAAGCTGGAACCACAGGTTCTTCAGGTTCATCTGGCATTTTAGCAAACCGCATTTCAAAGACATCCTGGCAAAATACAGTGGGCATATGAATGCTGTGCTTGTAAAAATACATCCCAGCATTATTCTGAAGAATAATGAAGTTTTCTTGTGGCACGCACCAAAATATTGGTATCGCCAAACTCAGAATTCAAAAAAATAAAATGCTCTGATTTGTACCTATCCTGAACACCCCTTTCCTGCAGTTTATCAATCTTTCTGATCAAAATTGGCTTAATCTTGAGGTCCCATTATATATAAGGACAGGGGAAGGGTGTTATCCTGTTCATTTCACCACTGGGGAATACAAGGGGCATGATCAGCAACATAATAACATCACTGAGGGTTGGATTTCAAGGATTCCAGAAATGCTGTTTGGATATTAAATATGTTTACTAACACTGACAGAAGTTTAATAATTTTTTCATGATTACTCCAATTAAAAAAATTAGGCCAAAGTATATGAGTGCTTTGCACCTAACATTATAGTGGTGTTTGAAGAGAGGAATCAGTAAACATCAAAGTAAGGTACAAAAGCCTTTACCCCTACATATGTAATACATATTTTAAATACTGAATAACAAATGAATTACAATTCCCAAAGATATAAAATATTTTACATTACTCTGAAAATTACTCTATGACTTACTAAAAAGTAAACATTTATGTATTTAAAGCAGAACATTATTTTAAATAATTTTTTTGTTACCTGTAGTTTCCGTGCCATGGCCACTACCTCATGATCTGGAGGGTTATATTTGTAACAATTGGAAAACATCAATCGGACATCAGCTGAAAATTCCTGAGCATCTCTATAATCCCGGTTCTCCAATTTGGACTGAAGATTAAACAAAGAAAGAACTTCAATTTTAAATAAATTTCAAATCATTTTAAAATACAATGAGTATTATTTCCTATAAATAGGGCAAAATATTTTGCCATTTCAGAAATAAGATTATCAATTCTCTATAGAAGTACCCTGCATGTTTTCTGAATGTATATGAAAATAAAATTATTTTCAACCCAAATGTCATTTAACAGGGTATCTCATTTGTTGATAATCCTATTGATTTTCTGTTTTAATTTGTATAGTATATAAGATTACAAAGAAACAGAAGTATCTACCCTGGTAGAATAGTTAAAATTAGCTCTGCTTTTCGAATTGCTTTATTTTATAAGATCAGAATGTGAAAAATAAACTAGTATAAAATGGATACTTTTTTACCCAGACATTCTGTTTCTTTAATTTTTTTCTCAGGTTCTACTACAATAAACCATGGACTTATAATGCATACTCCAGAATGCATACAGTAGAGAATACAAGAAACCTACCCTATAGATAAGATTTCTCAACATCAATGACTATTGTGCTATGCCATGCTTTTTTTCTTAAACAGGTTTAGTGAATAAAGCCAAATGGTCTAGTTCTCCCATAAATCTAGATCAAAATAGGGAAATGATATTGATGCTTAATGTCCTGTGAAACAATACTTTATTGCTCAATGCAAAAATGGGAGAGTTAGTTCTCTCTAGCAGCAAATAAACTTCTAAACAGGAAATGGACTGGAATAAAGAGTAGGTTTCATTTTAACTACTTAGTAAAAATATTTTGTCTACAGCAAGTATATGTAAAGTAATATGACATTCATTCAGAAGAAATAAAACTATATCATCACCAAGACCACAAGCTTGACCTTAGGGGAGTTACCAGCACAAAGCAATTCACTTTGTAGTCAGCTTTCATTAATATAGGACTTGTTCATAAATTCTTAACCTATAGTAGTATTTCCCAAGTACATTCATCTCATGTTTCCACATCTACACCAAAAACAAATCTTGTTACTGTTTTGAGAGGAGAAATATTGCTATAATTCCAACACAAAACAAGTTACAATCTGTGCAACTGCTGTCTTAAGAGTTAATCCCTGATTTACTATTGTCTCAAAACTTTAGGTACAACATGACCAATTATTTACTAAATAATCTTAAAGTGTCTTTGATGAGAAATAATGTCTAGAAAAGTTTCCTCTGTTCATATTACATAGACATTATGGCCAGTGCACTTTAATGGGAGTGCTACAGGAAGATGATAAGACAAACTTTTTCCTTCATCACCCAAAAGCACTTCTCAGGAAGTCATTAGCCAGTGTAGATAAAATTAAGTCAATTTAAATGTCCTGTTGGAATTGGATAATGGGATTGTGTATCATTATCCAAAGAAAAACCATGTTTACCCAATTTGGGGTAATTTTGAAGACACTGGTGGGCGACAGAAAAGGCTGCTTGTCAGGGTGTAAGTGATCCATGGATATGTTGTGTAGACTTGCTCTATTTGATACTATAACAGAGTAGACCCAAAGATGCATTTCCAAAAGGAAACTGGACTTCCTTGATTTTTTTCTTTGAAAACGTTTCTTCAATGAACTGAAGAAGTTTCCTCAAATGAAGTGAAAAATCATCTTGGATGAGAAATAAAACATTTTCAAAGAAAAAAACCAAGGAAGTCTAATTTTCTTTTGAAAAAAGGACCTTTGGGACAACCATAGGTAGTATTTTTAACGTATGTATTTATTACCACATGAGAGTTGAAAAAAAAGACACCCACACTTACTTTAATTGTACTCAGGTCCATGGGATGCTTAATGATATCACGATAATCATGGAGTCCAAGAGCGTCCACATCCACAGGTTTGTAGAAGGGCCATGCATATGCAGCATGTTTCTTAGCAAACATCTCCTTTATGATGCCACCACAATACTTTAATTGCTCTGACACTTTGCTACTGTTACTTTTTTCTACTACATGCTGCTGAGAATCTGGAACATCCTTCTTTGGAGGTTTCACAGGTCGGCTTCGTGGACCTGTCTTGACAGACTTGGGTTCAGCTGGCAATGATGATGATTCATGAAGTGGGTCTATTGTAGTAGGAGTTGTAGTGTCTGCTTTCCTCTTCACTCCCTTTTTTGTCTACCAAAGCAAACAGACATTCTATGTAGCCTTCTGTTCTTTATTTGCCACAATGTATACGTGTATATGAGGTTATGATTCCTTGGCATAGGAATATGTTATTATCTATATTTTTAATTGTTGATTATTTTTGTTATCTTAACCTTGTTTATGCATGGTGGGAATGTAAGCCGCTTGGAATCAGTTGACAATTGTAGCGGCATATAAGCCTATTAAAATAAATAAAATAAATGAATGTACCATGGAATTCTCGTAACTAAGCACACTCCATATATATGAAAATAACCAGACATCACGTATAAGTATCTAAAACACTATACAAGGAACAGAAAACAATCATCAGAAAATCTGTCACAGAACTTGTAGTGAAGCTGAATGACTCAATAGTTTTAAGAAAGTCAGATTTTTTTTCAAAATTTTTTGCTGCTCTTATTTCAGGGATATTATTATTATTATTATTAATAACAACATGCCGTTGTTCGCCACCATGGTCCTAAAATGATCTTGAAAGGAATACTACCCTTGTTTCCCCAAAAATAAGACCGGGTTTTATATTTTGTTTGCCATCAAAAAAAGGCACCATGTCTTATTTTCGGGGTGGGTGTGAGGATGTAGTCCACTGACTCACCTCACTTGCGTGCTTTGCCCCCGGCCTCTTTTTCACTATCAGAGGCCTTCAGGAACTTTTTCATCCAGCAAGGCTTTCCTGAAGGCCACTCTAGCAGATAACACAGCTCCGGATCGATCCAGATTCTGTTATCAGCTACAGAGGCCTTCAGGAAAGTCTTGCCGGCTTTAGAACAAATGGGCCAAGGTGTGTGGAGGCCTGGCTGCAGCTATCCAAAGGTAAGTAGTAAGGCAGCTCCACACACCCCATCCCACCCTAGCTTAATTTTTATCTGTGCACCTTGGAGTGGGCGGGGTCCTAATTAGGGCTTATTTTGGGATGGGGCTTATATTGGGTACACTTGTAAAAATCAAGCTATGATTACTTTCTGAGTAGGCCATATTTTCTGGGAAACACGGTAGTTTTTTTGCAATAAACAATTCCAATGGAAGATATGTTTAGCTATTTATCAAATCTTTATTTTAAGCAGTATTATTGAGCCAAGGTAAAAGCAGAGCCATTTTTTAAATGCTTTCTTTTCATAGAAGCTTACTAGACTTAGGGTTGGTAACTGTATCTCCATCTAGTTCATTTCATAAGTGTTATAAAGAAAAATGAAAGGAGAGGGTGTATAGTACATATACTACTTTTATTTCCTAGAGGAAGGGGATGAAAAAAAATCCAAAAAATTTCAATCAATCAATAAAAAAAGATGTTGAAAAGATCAACATTTACGATACTTTATAAAGCCTCTTTTGTATTTGCTTTTAAAGAATTGTCAGCACAATTTTATGCAAGTTTATGAAAAACAAATCTGAATTGTTTAATGGGACTTACTAAGCATATTTTAGACAGCAACCTTTAATAAATAAATGACAATATTGCTGTCATTACAATGGGAAGACTTGACATTTACTCTTCTATGAAAAGACAGAAATGAAAAACAAGTTTCATGTTGAATACTAGGCTAAATCATGATTAAGTAAAATCATAAATGTTGTATTCAGCTGATCTGTCTTTATCTAGCAATTTGTATACATACAGTGCATACCTGTCACTTAAGTTGTATGTTATGTTCTGACAAAATTATTCTATTATTGATATGTGCTTATTTTAGTATTTTACTTTTAACATACACATTTTTAACTTTGTAACTATATTGGTTAAAACCAAATACAATGTGAAAAACGACAATGTACTAACCAATGTTGGTATCAATGTGCTAACTATATATCAAATATAGAAAGCAATATTAATCAATTCTAATCTAATCTTTGTTGTCCCGTTCCCCCCCCCCCGGTGAGTTTCTGTCACAAAACACTGTATCTATACTAATGTTTTCCACCAATTTCATAACTTTTATATGAAGTGTGGTATGGTGGGCATAGACATTAAACATTCTTAAAGTATTTTCTAAAATAACAAACCTAACAAACAAAAAAATTGCATTTATTTGATTTACAAGGGAAGGTTATGCTTTTTTAATATTCCACAGAAGACAAACAATCTAACATGTGTAAGTAGGAGAGGAATTCCAAAATCTGAAATGTTTTACATATCTATTATATTAGTTCTGTATGGCTTTATTTCAAGCAGGTTAAAATTGGATGTTTGCAATAACTCTGAACAAAAATGTACTATAGAAAAACTTCAGATTTTAGAATAAAGGGTATTCAGCCAAGTAAATTTGGTGATCCTTCTAGCCCAGGGCTGTAAAACTCAATTTCATTGAGGGCCGCATCAGGGCTGTGGTTGACCTCAGGGGGCCAGGCGGGCATGGCTGACAGGGTGTGCATGGCCAGCTTGACATCACTTCCCAAATTGCTGGCATGTTTTCTCTTCACACTGGTTAGACCAGGCCAAAGATTGGGTAAACTGGGCTGAAGCTACGTTGGTCTGATCTTCCCTCTTTGCATTGGGTAGGATGTGGCCCACGGCCCTTGAGTTTGACACTCCTGCTCTAGCTTATACATTTAAATGTTCATACCCTAATAAAGAACACATTATTCATCCATATAATTCAATTTTACCTATATTGACTAAAAGCAACTATACATAATTTAAACACTTTTGCTAATCTACCTAGAAATTATAAGATTGAATCTTATAATGTTATAAGCTAGGGTCTCTTGTCCAAAGGTTTCTACATCTTTGTTACCTGAATAGTGCAATAATTAAGCTTAATAACCCACTGGTGTTAGAACCCCTAAAATAACAAATGTCTTGCTGAATTAACATTTTCATTTAAACTTTTAAAATTTGAATTTGAGCATTTAAAAATTGAATTTGACAGCATAGAACTGTGCCAGTTATTGGGAGCCCTGCAGAAATAGAGCATTGCAGTATCATAACATATTCCTGCTTCTTAACCTTCCAAATCAGAAGAATAAAAGTTAAAAGTATTTAATGAAGCAGTCTTAAGGAAAGCTATAAAGTACCTGAGCACGGTTTTGTATGACTTACGGCAAGTTTTTCCCTTAGGTGAACAATTAAAATAAGAGGAATTGTAATGTACGCACCTTCATGGGTTGTGCAGATGTTGGGATAATCGGGGTGTGTGTCTGAGAGGGCTGAGGAGCTGAGGCTGAAGGTGGGAGGGGAGGAGGCAGTGCTGCAGGAGGCTGGGGCGGCACCACTGTCATTACTGGTGTCTGAACAATTAGGTCAGGGGTTAGAGAGGGAAAGGAATGAGTTGTTTGCACCGGTTGGGAATTTTGGGGTGGAGCCTGCGTCTGTGGTGGGGATGATGCTTGAGTTGCATTCTGTACCACTGATGCTCCTGCCTTTGATGTCACTGTAAGAGAGTCAATCACAGTATGCACATCAAGTCCCTAAAAATACAAATTGACATTTTGCTTTTTTTCATTTCAGACTTTTTAGTCTGAGAACTCATATTTGTATTTGAATTACAATACAATTTCTCAATGACGATATATATATTACTAACAAACTCTAACCTTATTCTATTAACTAGTAAAGATAAACCATCCATTTGAAAATATGTTATTTTCCTTCTTTCCTTTCTCCATTGTATTTTGGTAATTATACCAGTTTCCCAACTTTTAAACTAAACAGTGAGGGTAAATCTTTACTTTCTGTAAATACATACTGTTCACTTAGATTTAATAATGAGTCAGCTTGCAGGCTGCACTAACCTATGAGTTACTTGAATGTGGCTTATACAATATAATTGGTTGGATTCACACAATATGCAGACCAATAAACTACAGTTTATGCTCACAATGCTTAGATTCACACTACACATTAAGTCAAAACTAAGCAAACTGTATTACAGCTGACTAATGTACAAAACTAGCCTTTATCTGAAAGATTATTTTTCAAGTACAATTATAAACATACATACACATAGTAGCATTTGCTAGTTCAAACGAAGTACAAAAACTGAGAGTACAGAATACAGTAGATTAAATATCAATACCTGTTTCCTTCCTACCACGTCCTCTCCCTTTTGTTTGGACTATAACAATTTCTGTTTCTTCCTGGGTCATTTCAGAGATTTTTTGTAGGAAGAGTTTTTCTAGAGCTTCTGCCATCAAAACAATATCATCCCCTGGCTGAACAAATAAAAATATATAAAATTTTAAAAACTCACACATATTTGGAATCATCAATCTGAAGACAGACCAGCCATATTTTTGCCATTATATGGCATTGTAGAAATATAGCATGAAATATGGAAATTACTTTGTCTAGTTGCTATTAATGTAGTCTGCAATCTTTTATGCATTGTAGCTTAAGCTGTATACTATATTTTGATTTCTTTATTTGTATGTTCTATGTTAGTTCCTCTTTTGCCATTAACAGATTAAAAAATTGTATAATCATTTTAGCTATCAACCATAGAAGAGGACCATTCAACATACAACTTTATACATTTACTCTATCTCAGGGGTCGCCAACCTTTTCGACCTCGGGGACCACCAAACTATTTTAAAAAAAAGATAATATATTGAATATAAAATTTTATTTTTTATATTAAATATAAATTTAATATTAAAAATAATTTTATTACACACACACACACACACAAATGCTTATTTAATTATAACAAAATCGTAAATGCTTAATCATAACTATGGGACAGAGTGAAGGGAAAGGAGGGGCCTCTCTCATCCTTTGGGGGGAAAGAGGGAGGATTTAAGAAGCCACATGGTGCCTGGAGGCTGGGAAGATCTGGACGGGAAGGAACCGGCTCCCCCTCAAATGGAAGAAAAGCAGAGCCATCTCATTATCTCCCCCAAGTCAGAGGAAACCTCTCCCTCCTTTGCCAGGTGTGGCTACCTGGAGTTAACTGGGGGAGGGAAGGAGGGCCGGGCTGGAAGGGCTCCTAATAACCAGGCAACACTCCCCACTTCAGCCTCCATATAACAAGAGGACTCCCCGAGGCTAAGCTCCAGGTTTCTCCTGTTGCTTTGAAGCAGAGAAGGATCCCTTCCTGTGTGGAGGCTGAAGGGGGGGGGGTGTCAAGTCCAGAAAAGCTGGAGTTCTCACCTGCATAAACAGGCTGGTTATTAGGAGCCAGTCTTCCTCAGCGCTCTTTTGGTCTAGGCATTTGGTCTCTCCCCACCCCCACCCCATGCCAAAGGAAAGCCAGCCGGGCTGCTCCTTCCCTCCTACCCTTCCCCCCACTCAATCTTACTTTGGGAAAGAGGAGAGCGTGCTGGAAACGTGTCTTGGCTTTTCCAACACGCCTTTTTCTCCAGCGCTCGCTCACAATTCTTCACGTTCCCCAGCCCTGACGTCTCTGCTGCCCCCCCCCCCCAAAAAAAGAAAGCAAGCAGAAACAGCTCTCGCTGGGGAGAAAGAGCAGAGATTGGAAGGCACAGGCAACAGAAAGCGGCACTTTTCAAAGGCAGCAGTTTCCCATCTTCTCTTGCCGGTGCCTTCCTCGATCTCAGCTTTTTTGCCCCAGCAAGAGCTATGTTTCTGCTCACTTTTCCTGTGCTTTCCCTGGGCAGCGATGGCTTGGGCCGTACGGGGTGGGGGGCAGCAAAGCAGAGCACCAAGAGGGACAAGAAAACTGACACCAACGCCCCATTCTGGACCTCTGAACTGGATGGTGAGTGCAGACTTGCCCACTCCGCCCCCTCCCACCACCACCAGCCAGTACTTTTCGTGCCCTGGGCTGTCCCTACAGCCCATGGCCATCGAGGAAGAGCTCAGGCCAGGAGAGGCAAACTGGGAGGTGCGGGAATGCTGTGCAAATGCAAGTAGCGTGGCGTTCCTGCACCTTCCGGCCATCTCCATCCTGCCAGCCCCCTCTTGTTGCAATAGCACCATTACCTCGTCCTGCCCGGCAAGGGCTGCGCTGCTTTTTGCAGGTTTGTGCTCAGCCGAAGGGTGGGAGCCAGCGGGTGGGCAGGCTTTGGGGGGACATTTCTCTGCAGCCCACCCAAATTTTCTCACGGCCCACCGGTTGGTGACCACTGCTCTATCTCATGGTTACATTACTAAAAGAGATATACTTTGTGTATGACTAAGTGAGAGACAGACAACTTGTAAAACTAATTTACTACGGCTTTTTGTTGTTGTTGTCAAATGTAACAGTGTTCTGGATAGAAGTTTAGGAAACTTCAAAGCACGTTTTCTCCTTATTATCTGTAAATATGAAAAAATTGTGGTGGACAGATTCATGAACAACTAACTGATGGAAAAAACTTGGATCTGAACCTTATTTTACACTGGCAAATTGCCTTTTTCAGAGAAATAGTGTGAAATCAAAATTTGGAAGCATTATTTTCTATTTTTCATCAGTATGGTATATTAATGTTATACTCTTGAAAGGTTTATTTAAAATATTTAAGATTTGTATTAAGGAAAACTATTGTTTTAAAAATACTTACAATAATAAACTACACATGTAAAGTACCAGAAGCCATGGCCAGTGAAACTCTTAAGCAGGGGTCTTCAAACTTGACAGCTTTTAGACTTTCTGGATTTCAACTCCCAGAATTCCTTCTCCAGTAATGTTAGCTCAGGATTTCTGGGAGCTGAAGTCCACAAGTCTTAAATTTGCCAAGTTTGAAGACCCTTGCTCTTAAGCAAAGTAGCATTGATAAGTGTGGAATTCTTAGATTTTGTCTAAAGTTTAAATTTTAGAATAAATTATATTTATGTAAACTAAGAAGTACGTAACCTGTAAACTTTGCTACATTCATGCATATATCACCAATTTCAGACCTCCTCTGCAAGAGACTGTTTCAAATATCAGACAAGAAAACAATCTGTTTCCTTCCTGTACCTGCTCTCAACAGAGGAGGTACATTCTAGGTTGTTAGACAGAAAAATACAACTTTTCTCATTTCAGTCCAACAGATTATCCCTGAGACACTATGGCCTTTTGAGAGAGAGAAAAAAAAATGTCCACACCTGAAATAAATACACCATTTTACCAAGGAAGGAAAGAAGGAAAAGAGCAACTAGTATACCCAGATTTAAGTCCATTCTTAACTACAAAACTCACTACAACATTCAATTATTTATTTATGTGATGATGAGCCAGTCACATACTATTAGTCTAATATAGCTCACGATTGTTGCTTGAGAAAATGGGGGAAGAAAGTTGAACAACATGCACCAGCTTCAGCTCCTTTAATTTAATAAATTTATCTAAATTTATTTAAATTTAATAAACATATACAAACTAAAAAAATGAAATCTCAAATTGGAAATATACAGGTGATACATCATTTGAAAGTCCAATTTATGAGAAAACTAACCTTATTATAGATGTAACAATTTGTAAACATTGTATTGAAGTCCTGGATACATTCTTGAGCATTCCAGTAGTAGTTATTCTCCAAGCGCTTCTTTATTGTTCCCATGTCCATAGGAGTTTTAATAATTTTATAATAATCCTATGGAAAAATAAATATGGCAAATAAAAATTCAAACAACACTTCTCATATCTATGATGAGTTGTTGATGCAAATTATTTCATGACTGAAAAACAAGCAGATAGTCCTCAATTTACAACCATAATTGAGACCAAAATCTCTGGTCATTGAGTGACGTGGTTATTAAGCAAGAACAATGTGACTTCTTTACTCCATTAACTGCAATCTCAGCACTCCAAGTTGTAGTTGTTAAGTGATCTCCTGTGTTGTTAAAAATGACATAGCAAAAGAGTTGTATGCTAGAGGGACATGGAAACCCTCAAGCAGGCAGCCTTTTCACTCTCAAGGAGGCTGGCTGAAAAAGGTCTAGTTCAACATTCAAGCAGGATTTTGGTACACAGTGCTTGTAGCATGGAGTATTTGCAGCCAGTCTGGAAAGACAAGAGGGAGTTCTTTCGTTTATAGATATAGCATGCCATGTCAACAAGTGTTTATTAATCAAGGTTTATGGGGTAAATTACATTAATCTAGCCACTGTTGCTTTTAACTGGATGAAAGAAGGATTTAGTGTGTTGTGCAACCTCATTCAATTATCCTGACAATTATTGTAATTCATGGCGAGTCAATTTTAGTTTTAATATTTTTAGCACTGTTTGAAGCTAAACACACAGAATCAGCTAAATCATACAATCAACCAGTATTAATATAAACCAAAGGGAATCCTTTTGGAAGATGGCAGCGGCTTGTGATCTTCTCTGGTAACTTCCCTTGGGGAAGCTGGAGAGAAGATCACAAATGGAGGTCACATTTGTGAGGTGCTTGGAACTCATTGTACAGTTTTCCCCAAAATAAGCCCTAGCCTGATTTTTAAGCTTCCACTTAATATAAATCCTACTAAAAAAATAAGCACTAGTGAAGATTATCATTAGGTAGGGTGTGGCTAGCAATAGAGGCAGCGAGGGGGGACTGATGGTGTCTGGCAGTAGCCACAGCTTGTGCAGCGCAGATGAGTCCAAGTAGCAGGCGGGGGGGTGGGGGTGGTGATCAGGATGCATCCACGCAAGCCGCGGGAAAGTCAAGAGTTGGTGGGCAGCCATTGGAGGCTCAACTTTGCTTGGTGGCACCAGCAGCAGACAGAGGCAGAGGTGCGGGGGGAATGCAGGCCATCCTGATGCTCCACACGGGCTGCAGGCAAGCCGAAAGATGCAAAGACGAGCCTTCCATGGCTGGCTGCCACTCAGACCCAGCTTGTTGCAGCTGCAAGCAAGCAGAAGTAGGCTGGCGGCCATGCAGGGTCCTGCTGCATAGGGTTGCTGGAGCCGCAGTCGCAAGGCAAGTGTCGGGGTGTGGATGGCTTGCAGTAGGGCCCTCAGATAAGCTGCTGTGGAACACATGAAATACCTGTACCACCCTGCCTTGTGGCCATGGCACACTACGCAGCCTCCTGTCCTATTGCAGCAGCAAGTAAGCACAAGAAATGGACCTCCCATACATGGAAAAAAATAAGACATCCCCTGAAAATAAGCTCTAGTGCTTATTTTGTGTGTGTGTATACACACACACACACACACACACAATACATACACACATACATATACTATACACACACACAAAATATCATGTTATATATGCTCTCTCTATATGCTCTATGTGCTCTAAATATATGCGCTCTCTCTCTCTCTATATATATAAATAGATCGGCTTATTTTTGGGAAACACAGGTAAGTATGAATAGATTACCAAGGGCTCAGATCACAATCAGGTGATCTTAGCGGCCTGAATGGCTGTAAGTTCGGGCTCAACTCTAAATCCCTTCATTCAATGCCACTATAATTTTGAACAAACACTGAACAAATGGTTGTTAAGCAAGAACTGCCTATATCTTGTTCATCCGATAGCCCTACTTAGACAAAATATGGAATCTGCACCTAAACAGCCATCAAACCAGAATTTTAATTGTACTGACTAGACTGGGCGTGGTCAAAATTTATTTTTAGCTCTTCTCCTAAACCAATAGTTGAATATGTTGATTATTATCATGCCCGTTGGCAGTTTATAGCAACAGTAGGCCAATTTTTTTCTTACTACTATCTTACTATACCTTTTTTCTTTGGTTCAGTTAATGCAACTTTACCACAATCAAGTTATAGACAAGTTCTGTAACTTTTAGGTTAGAATACGTCCTCAAACAACCTAAAGAAATAAGGAGTATCCGTACGATAAGATTTACTCCAGACAATTACACACTCAAATACAAATGAAGACCAAGAAGCTTTAGGGGGGTGGTGTATGTATATATATAGGTATATATATAATTTTAATTCACTAATTTAAGAAAGATAAAGAAGCAAAGAAAAGTAGAGAAGGCATCTTTTCCAAAACCTCATAAATGGTTCCTTTTTGTTCCCCACCGTAGAAATGGTGGTAGACTTTAAAAGAAACCCTCCCATACTACCACCTCTTACAATACTAGACTACGTAGTATCAAAAGTAGAGACCTTCAAATTTCTATGTTTTATTATATCACATGACCTAAAATGGACACCTAACATCAAAAAGGTTATCGAAAAAGCACAACAAAGAATCTTCTTTCTGCGCCAACTCAGAAAGCTCAAACTGCCCAAGGAGCTGCTGATACAGTTCTACAGAGGAATTATTGAGTCTGTCATCTGCACCTCTATAACTGTCTGGTTTGGTTCTGCAACCTAACAGGACAGACACAGACTTCAGAGGATAATTAGGACTGCAAAAAAAACAATTACTACCAACCTGCCTTCCATCGAGGACCTGTATACTGTACAAGTCAAAAAGAGAGCTGTGAAAATATTTACAGACCCCTCACACGTCCTGGACATACATTGTTTCAACTCCTTCCCAAAAACGACACTATAGAGCACCACTGCACACCAGAACAAGTAGACACAAGAACAGTTTTTTCCCCAAACGCCGTCACTCTGCTAAACAAATAATTCCCTCAACACTGTCCAACTATTTACAAAGTCTGTACTACTATTAACCTTCTCATCACTCCTTATCACCCATCCCCTTCCACTTGTGACTGTATGACAGTAACTTTGTCGCTTGTATCCTTATGATCTATATTGACTGTTTCCTAGTATGATTTGATTGCTTATTGTACTCTATGATTATTAAGTGTTGTACCTTATGATTCTTGACGAATGTATCTTTTCTTTTATGTATACTGAGAGCATTTGCACCAAGACAAATTCCTTGTGTGTCCAATCACACTTGGCCACTAAAGAATTCTATTCTATTTTCCAACTAAAGAGCAAGTAGCCCTTGCTCAGTGATTGCCTCGACAGCAGTTACTAAAGTGATGGAAAAGGTAACTTGGTAACCAATGTCCTCATTTACAATCTTTTCAACACCTCTTTCTGTTGTATCTTCATTAGTCAATTATTGCATACTGGCATGAGTAAGATCGTTATTTATTTAACAGTCATGATTTTTCACTTAGCAAATGCTTCACTTAACAACCTGTGTTCCTGGCCCCAATTGCAGTTGCTAAACAAGGATTACCTGTATGCCCATTCATTTGTCTAGAATTGGACAATGACTAAATAAAATTAAGTTCCATTTTTCCCTCTGCACTAATCTTCAGTGAGAACACAGCTTGAACAGGATAGGAAAAAGAATGGTCATGTCCCATCAAGTCATAATAGAAACAGATTTCTAATTGGAGAATATAAATCATATATGGCTGTTACTATGACTTGCTATACATACACTTACGCATCATTCTCTTAAGACAACATTGTACTTATAATAAATATTTATTTGATACTGTTCATTCAGTGTATAGAATGATACAATTCTCAAGAAATTATGTTTCTAATTAGACAAACAACGCCAAAGAACTGGGAAATTGCATATAAATCGGTATGTCTAAAAGCAGTTTTTCCAACTCTATCAAATCCAATCTACTGAGTATGTCTATTCTATTTTTTCATTTACTTTCTGTCCCTATTATGACAACTAATATAATCTATCTATATTACTATCCTTATTTTACTATGAATCTCTTTTGCTTTTGTATTTTAAAAAAGTAGCCCACAGCATGTTTTTGACTGTTTCCAATTTATCAGGAATTCTGAAAAAATGTAACATATATTGCTTTTTCATCCTCATAAAACAGCATATTTATAGTTTATGATTGTTATATCTTTCAAAACAAACCCATTCTTTATTTGCTGTCCACAATTTTTTAAAAAAAAATCATTTACATTTAAATTTCCTTTCCCTATGTTAGGTATACTTACAGGGAGGTTTAGTTTGACAGCATCCACAGGCTGCTGAAAAGGCCATGAAAACTGATGTTTCCATAGTGTCCTGAGCACCACTTTGAGTAGGTACTGTAGTTGGTTGGTCATGCGCTTGGGTTTACTAGCATTTGAGGTCTCAGGTGGAGCTGGGTTAATGGATGAAGGATTGCCTTGTTGGGGTTGAGTCTGTGCCTGTGCTGTAGACATTTGTGTAGCTTCTAGTCCATCCCCCATTACTGCCAAATTTCTCAGTCTTGTCCCAGGGCCACTCTCTGAAGACATGCTATCGATCCCATTGCATTCTGTACCATTCACTCTGCAAAGCAAATTCATAAATTAAATAATTGTATATGCTGCTCAACTCCCAATGAAATTACAAATTATTAATACATTTTAAAACAAAGAACAAATATAAAAAGCACACAAAATAAACAATGATAGTAGAGAAAACAAACATAGATAGGAATAAAGAAAATGTGGCTTCAATCACCTTTGCCAAAGGCCTGGGGAAATAAGGGAAAATTAATGAGTGGTTGATAGTTGTCAGAATCACTGGCTCTAATAGTAAGCAATAATCTGGCTGAGTGCAATTCTGAACCAAGATGAAGTCAGTACTAAATGGAGATTCTCCAAAGATGTTAAGTATATCTTTTAGAACTCATCACAAAAAATATTAATGTAAGAACACTGCTCTGGTTTTCAATAAAAAGAAAACATTCATTTTCTTCTAAAGAATATGGCAATATTAAGCAGATGGCTGATGGTATAACACTCATAAAGGTCCATTAAAAAGTTAAATCCTAGCTGTTTTCTCTAGAAATATTAGTACAGTATATCCTTAACCTTCGCTTTTCCCCTTTTTCCTAGAAATTCACCAAACTGAAAATATTGTTTTAACAGTAGAATGATAAATAGGCTCCACACCCATTTGCATCACTCAGGTAACTCTGAAGACACAGATAAACCTCCAGGTGGCCTCAACAACTCTCTAAAAAGAATGCAAATTACCAGCTGCTTGCAAGGAGTATAAATCCTTCCATTCCTCACCATCCATCCAGAGGTGAAGAAGCTTCTTGGATGAGAAGCTAAATGTTTTCAAAGAAAAACAAAGAAATCCAGTTGCCTCCTGAAAAAGCACCTTTGGGATATTTTGATAAGAAATGTAGTGGGTTTTTTTAATGTTGTGCTCAACTTTCAATGAGAAAACTAAACAATTCAATGCTTGTAATATTGCCATCCTAAATTATAGTTAACATTGATAGAGTTAGAATATTTTATTTTTATTTTCTGTTCTCAATAATCTATGCTACTTAATAATAGATGTTAATACATTTTAAACATATTATGCAAACATACTTTTCAGGACATTGCTTTTAGGGATGCATTACTAGTATGGCTAGTATTTATTGATTTTATTCATTAACCATTTTATTCATTGTTTTGTTATGAGCCCTAATTGGTCATGTTTTAAAAGCTGGGGAAAAATTCTGAAAAGCTAAAATCATGAACTTAAATTTTATAGCAATAATGGAAAGTGATTTTTTTCCTCTTTCCTATGCTTTAGTCTTGCATTAAAAAAAACCTTCAACAATATTTTGTACTATAAGAAACTACATTGAATACTTTTATAAAGCACTGCAGTATAGAAGACATCCAGGAGAGGGTGCCAAAAGAATACAAAATATTACCAAGGACATTCAAGTTCATGGTTCAAAATCCTGTGTCTGCTAGCTACAAATTACAGATACCCATTTTAAATGTTTTGCTATATTATTGGGCATTAAACTGTCTTGTTGGGATACTACTTTCAAAACTAGCAACTACTTGATTACTGGCAATAATTAAAACTAAATCATCCCAATCATGTCATCTAAAAAGTAGAAGAGGGAACTACAGGGTCAGCTATACTGGACTTACTTTCAAAACTAGCAACTACTTGATTACTGGCAATAATTAAAACTAAATCATCCCAATCATGTCATCTAAAAAGTAGAAGAGGGAACTACAGGGTCAGCTATACTGGACTTACCATATTTTTCGGACTATAAGATGCACTTTTTCACAAAAAAGTAGGTGGAAATGCCTGTGCATCTTATAGAGCGAATACGGGCCTGTTTTTGGCTTCCCAAACCCACTGTGCATCCCATTTTTGCCATCCCCGCCCCCAGAAGCACTCTGCCAGCCAAAATCAGGCCCGTTTGTGGCCTCCCGAATCCTCAGTGTCCCATTTTTGCCCTCCCCAGGGCCCCCAGAAGCATTCTGCAGGCTAAAAATGGGCCCGATGCTGGGGAGGACAAAAACAGGACCCGTAGAAGCCTCCGGAGACCAAAAAATGGGCCAGATTTTGGCCTGCAGAGTGCTTCTGGGGACTGGGGAGGGCAAAAACAGGATGCATGGAGGCAAAAAACTATTTTTTTTTCTTGTTTTCCTTCTCTAAACCTAGGTATGTCTTATGATCCGGTGCATCTTTATAGTCAGAAAAATATGGTAATTCTTACTAACAGAGATGAAATGAAGGAGTTGAAATTGTAGGAATTTGGGGGGGAGAGTGATCATGTCATATTAGAATTCAGTATAATGCAGATACAAGCAATAGAACAAAATCAAACTAGTGTTTAGACTTTAAGAGAACCGATTTCAATGAATTTAGGATTGGGAAAGATTTCATGGATGAAAATCTTAAAGGAGAAAATAAATGAAGAAGCTTGGGAGACTTTGAAAAATGAGATTATAAAAGTCCAGTCCAGCAAAATACCCTTGAAAAAGAAAAATAAGAGATCCAAGAAGAAACCAGCATGATTGCATAAACAACTCTCTATAAACCGGAAAACAAAAAGGATAAGTACAAAAAGGAGAGAGGGGCACATAACTAAGGCAGAAAACCAACAAGTCAGGAAAACTAAGGGTCAGAACAAAGTAAGACTTGCAACAAATGTTAAAAAATAATAAAAAAAGTTTATTTCAACATGTAAAAAAAAAAGGAAGTGATGAGAACAGGGAGAAAGTAGAACTGCTTAATTCATTCTTTGCACGTGTCTTCATACAAAAGGAAAAAATAGACCAATCTAACAAAAAACAGACTAGAAATACTAATTAAAATAGACAAGAAAATGGTAAAATAACACCTGCCTATCCTAGACAACTTCAAATCATGAAGACCAGATGGATTACATCCCAGAGTTCTGAAGGAGGTGGCAGACAAGATCCCGAAATCAGTGAACAATATATATCTTTCAAATATCCAGGAGCACTGGGAACTACAAGAGGACTGGAAATGAGCTGATGTGGTTCCTATCTTCAAAAAAAAAAAAAAAGGAAAATATAATGGATCCAGGAAACTACCAGTATAGACCTATCAGCTTGGCATCAATTCCTGGGAAGATCCTGGAAAAGATAATCAAGCAACAGATCTGTGAACACTTGGAAACAAGCAGAGCTATTACTAGAAGCCAACATGGGTTCTAGTAACAGATCGTATCAAACAGATCTTATTATAAGGCTCCCATCCTAAAACTAGGAACTGAGTTTACAAAATATAGTCAAATGTGCTTACATGGAAGTAAAGCTTAATGGCTAGATTTGTTTAACAATGGTTTACAGCAGGGTAGGCAAACACTCGAATCACAACCACAAAAATGATGGCATGATTTTCCAGTATTTTTGGTTGAAAAACACCTTAACACTGTACTGTACTATTTATTTAATATACATTAAAAAGTGAACAAACAAAACTCCCCTTTTTTAAGAGGAAAAATTGAAAACCATATCTTCCAGAAGTCCCCTCAATTTCAACATTATAAAACAAAACAAAAAACAAAAGTATCCGAAAACTAAACTGTACTATCAACTATGAAAACTAAACAATACATATTAAAACATAAATGATTTGATTTGTTTAAGCACAGCATATCATAGGAGTGGAATTATGTAATTATAGTTGGGTGAAAAGTTTCTTACAAACTCAAGTGAATAATTAATCTATGAACATTCCTATGTCTCTCACCAGCTCTAGTAAAAAAAAACAGCATTGGCAGCACATGCAAGAGAAATTCAGCAACTTAAGTAATATATAAATGTTAAGCTAGGGGATGGGTGATGTCGAAGAGAAATGAACATGTTTTAATAGGGAGGAAAGCTTTGCTGTTTTCTAATGCATCATGTCATGGCTTAGAAGTACTAATATGTGTGCGGGAGGGGAAGCCTTCCCAGAAATAATGTATTATAAATGCATTAAAGATCATGCATGGCATTCAATTAAAACACTTTGGGGGTTAATGCATTTTGTGCATTTATCCAATTGTGTTTTACAAAAGCAACAACTACTGCAGTTCATTGTTTGGCTTAGAAATATATAAACACCTACCCAGAAAAACAAATGCATTTTAAAAATCAGATAATCTGGGGTTAACTGTATCCTGGAGATTAGAGGTGGAAAAGGGAAATATCCTCATTAGTTTGCTGTTCTGATACAACAATCCATGTCATGTTAAGTACCCACAACATGCTCTTAAAGCAGAGGTCCCCAACCCAGCCACGGCCCAATAGTGGATCATGAGCAGTGGTGGGATTCAACCAATGTAACAACTGGTTCGGTGAGCATGTGTCCCCAGTGCCTGGTTTTCGCCCTCCATGGCCTCCTGCAACACTCTGCCGGCTGAAAACGGGCTGCGTGGCCTATTTTTCAGCTGTTTTTGGCCCATTTTCAGCCGGCAGAGTGCTGCAGGAGGCCATGGAGGGTGAAAATGAGGCATGGCCCCCCCCCCCCCCCCCTGCACGTGGTCCGTTTTAGCCACCAGAGGCACCGCAGGCCTTGATATTCCCAGGCCGGCCCAGTGGGCTGGATTTAAGCACCCTGCGGGTCGGATCCAGCCCGCGGGCCTTGAGTTTGACACCCCTGTTCTAGAGTATTGAAAAGCCAAACCTCTGGCAATGGTGCTGGTAGGCAATCCTGTAGATCTAAACATCTCAGCAGATTCACAATAGGGAGACCCTGCTTAGCTAGGAATAACCTGTGGAACATTATGAATCATGACGCCGAGAATTTAGACAACTCAAACCAGAACCATTACCCTGTTTCTTTGTCCAACCTTAAGTGAACTACACGGAGTGAAGGGGCAATGGTCTTACCTGACACGCTCTTTCTCGATGTGCTGAGAGACAACCCAAGGAATAGGTTAGCTCTGCTTTTCTGCTCATTAGACTGAGTCTATCAATCTTTCATAGCCATATCTCTCATGTCTGTGTCCGCAGTTTTCGACAAAGGCAATAATGATTGACCTGAATGTGTTTCCTGGCTTGGCTTGGCCACTCCTGGACTCTGGACCAGACAGCTGCCAGGGTGGGGTTGGATTCTCTCTCAGCACACCAAGAAGGAGCATGTCAGAAGACCAATGCCCCTTCTCCAGTGTGCTGAGGAGAATCCAAGGAATGGCACATATCAAAGCAGGCTCATCCTAAGGGTGGGTGGCAGCCTGGTCAAGAGTTCCCAAGTCTGTGTACACACCTTCTGGAGAACTTGTCTGCTGAAAGCCGCTTCAGCAGAAGCAAAGACATCCAGCTTATAATGCCGTATAAACCACGTTGGGAGGACCACGTTGCTGCTCTGCATATCTCCTCAATGGAGGCCTGTGTGGCCCACGCTGCCGTAGTGGTTGCGCTTCTAGTGGAGTGGGCTGTCACTCACCGAGGCAATGGGAGAGCCAGAAGCTCATATGATTTGGTGATGTAAGGCCATATCCACCGGCCTATTATTAATGCTGTAACCTTATTACCCAATGTGGAAGGTTGAAAGGATACAAATAGGGACTCCAATTTCTGAAAGAAGGCTGACCTCTTAATATAGATATAGAGAGCCCTCCTGACGTCCAAGGTGTGCCATTTCTTCTCTAGGGCATGGGTTGGGCCAGGGCAAAAATCTAGTAAAATTAGTTCCTGTGCCCTGTGAAATAAAGAATTAACCTTGGGAAGGAACGAAGGATCTAATCGTAGAACCACCCTGTTAGGATCACGGGACCACAGGTCCTCCCTTATTCAGAGGGCCGCCAATTCAGAGATGTGTCTCGTCAAAGTGATGGCCATGAAAAAAACCACCTTGCAGGTGAGGATGTGAAGACTGGCGGAACGCAACTGTTCGAAAAGTGCAGAGGGAAGAGCTTGGAAGAACCTTAGGCAGTTCCCAGGTGGGATACCAGTGTACCATCAGAGGTTTTTAATTGGTTGTGCCCCTGACGAAGCTGCGCACAATTGGGTGCTGTGCGAGGGACTCCAGATCCCCGCAAGATAACACAGAAGATCAGACTGCCACTTGTCTGCGGATCGTATTGGGTGAAAGGCCCTTGCTAGCCCCTCCTGCAGGAAGTCCAAGATCTGGGCCACCGATATTGAGAGGGAATCAATAGAAGCTTTGGAGCACGAGGTGCAGAAGGTTTTCCAGGTGGCGTTGTAGATCCGGTTGGTAGACTACCTCCTAGAGGCTTGGATGATCAGTATCACTCGGCTGGAGAAGTTGTCCAGCCTCAGAGCTCTCCGCTCAAATGCCAAACAGTTAGTTGGAGGCATTGTGGTTGGAGGAGAGCTCACTGACTGAGGGAGATTCTGTCTGGTGGAATCCTCCAGGGCCTGGACACTGATAGGGTGACCAGGTTGGCAAACCATGCTATTCTGGGCCAGTGAGGAGCCAGGAACAGGATCTCTGCTCTCCCCGCCAGTACCTTCCTGATTACCCCTGGGATGAGGGCAAGCAGAGAAAAGGCATATAGTAGTCCTCGGGGTCATGGAGTGCAGAGTGCACCGGCCCTTTCTGGCCCTGGTGTTGCAAACCTGGAATAAAACCTGGGTAGTTGGCTGTTTGACAGGGTAGCAAACAGGTCCAGGATCAGAGAACCAAACCTTTCGGACAGTGCCTTGAACAGGCCAGGATGCGGGCGCCACTTTGAGTGGTCGACTGTGGCTCAGCTATGGCAGTCCACCTGTACATTGGCTGTTCTTGCGATATGCTCTGCTCTCAGGGATAGATGTCATTCCGACCAGAGTCCCAAGTACTCGACCTCTCGCATGAGGGACCTGGAGTGGGTACCCCCTTGGCAATTGATATGGGCCTTAATGGCTACATTGTCTGTTAGTATGAGCACGTGGTGCCCAGAGATTATGTTCTTATTCTTGTTAGTTATTTTAATTAAACTTTGACAAAGCCAAGTTCCTTGCTCAGGATGCTAAAAAAAGAATTTTGGGATAAACTAAGAAAGTGATGACTATATATACTATGTGCCTTGGCACTTGGCAGACTCCATGAATGCATGATTAGATTAGGATTTGGTAAAAAATAAAACTAAAATTGGATGCTAGCATAAGGCAAAGTAAAATGCTAGCTTAAACATTTTTTTTCAAAGTAACATCCCTCAGCCATGCATGTACAACAAACACAATAAAAAAAGTAAAAATGCTAGAGGGCTATAGCCAGTATACCTACTCAGTTAGTGACTGAGTTCCATTCCAACCACCAGGTGATTAAGCAAAATGGTTGCTAAATAAACACGTGATTGAGAGAGATGCGGCAAAAATAATTAGTTGCAGCCATTTCATTCAGATAAGTTGTCTGATATAGCTATGCCAGCGCTACTTGAATGTGCGTTGTTGTCACATGCATGCATTGGTTGCAAAATTAATACTTGATTACCATCATATTTGCAAATAGTTAATAAAGATACTGTAGTTGTTAGCAGGTGTACTTCATTTAAAAATGTATCCATTGCATAGGAAACATAAAGCAGATTAAGGTGACACGCTAACAAGCATTCTACAATTCTAAACACAGTGGTATCAAGTAACCTCACTACTGTAGTCTGACCACATCTATTACAACAGTCATTTAGTGAATATGCCCATAATGTTGCCAAATCTCAAACGTGCCTATTGGTTAATTCGTGTTGTTTATTTAAACTATGAGTATCTAAGTCTAGGCCACAATGATTGAAGAGGAATTGTCTTAGGTTACATATAAATATATACAATATAATTAATTGTATATAAATAATTTTATTTTAAAATATTTTTATGATCTTGTGGAGTCAGATTACTAGCTATTCAGGGCTGCATGCCACCTATTGGCCATGAGTTGGACATGCCTGATTTAAACATTACAAGCAATCAATGTAGAGAATCCAGATGACGACTTGGATGGTCACTGAAGTAATAAGTAGTCCTCGCTTAAATCATTCAGCAACCATTCAAATTTATGATGGCACTGAATGAATGGTAGAATAACCAATCCTTGAAGCTATGACTATTGCAGTGCCCCCATGATTACATGGCGAAAATTGACAAACAGTTTGTGTTTATAACTACAATATGCACTTCATCTGCCCACCCCACCCCTATCTCTGTCCTTTTGGCTACCCTGCCTATTGGGCCAAAAATCCCTGGGTCATGCAGTAGTTTTCTTTCAGAAACTATATCATATGGGCACAAAGCCAATTCTGTAAAGTCTAATTTATATAAGTTGGAACCTGAACTTAAACCAGGGATAGATGGGCCACGTCTCCTCTGTCCACTTCCACTAGCTATTTCTCTTATTGACTATCAAGTACCCTAACATTATTTTTTTAAAAAAATTCAAAATAGATTTGCCAGAAACTCAAGTACCATCTACTTACAAAGGGGATGGGCAGTATGTGATTTCAAACCATCCTTAAGTTGTAACTTCCTTCATTCTTCATCACTGGCCATAGTGATTGGAACTTATAAAGCTCAAATACATCAACATCTGGAAGGTCCCATGTTTCCCATCTATGATTTACCATACTGCTTCAGCCCTGATGGAACATCATATAACTTCAAACAAAATATGCACCTACAACACAGCATGTTGACTGCAAATGTGCTCATCCTATGCTTCCACCACCCCTACCCCAAAATCAAAGATCTAAATGTAAAATGTGGAATTTACTTCAAGGCTTCTCCAGGGTTAAAGGTTGAGAAAGGCTAAACCAGAAGCGCACTTATCTGTCAGCATCTTTCACAAAGCAATGGCACTGGGAGCTATGGTTCAGCAACACTGGAAATAAAGTTTATCCTTGGAAGGAAGCCAAATAAATTGTTATTTGGTAAAGAGTTTCTTTTTGATTTACCTTAACCATCACGTTATTTATCAAATGTTTATACCACTCTTCTCATTATCTAAGTGACTCTGGGCATTTAATAAATTAGAACCATAAAACTTTACAAAAAAGACACAGTGAAAGATATTTGGAACAGGAAACTCTCATTTTCAAATGTGCTGCCTCTGATAAATATATTGGATCAACACAAAAAAGCCCAAGATACACACAATTAACAAACCAAATCTTCTAATGCAAAAATAAATAAATATTACCTTGAAGCAGAGCTTATCGCTGATTATTTTCCTCTAGTAATTATGCTCTAATATCCATTTCTGGCATAGAACAATGAAGTACAACTCTGTAAGAACAATGAATTAGATCAGTATCAAAATAAAGGAATGAAGAGAAAAATATTCTATTCCTAACATTTAAATTTGGATAATGAAACTAAACTAAGCCCCAATTCCAGCTTTGCTAAATACAAACCTTAAAAAACCTGATTTTTTAAAGATGGTGCGTATACGATAAATACCTAATTTATTTAGGCCAAAGATTTATCTATTCTCAACACTTCCTAAAGCTGACAAGCACAATAACAACAAGTTGTTAAACTCCCGAGCATTGAAATACAACCTTAGCGGTTAATACAACTAATTTGATTGTAGATAGACACCTTCATGACTTTTGCCTTTTAAGCCCCTTGTTTGTTTATTTATTGCATTTATATACAGGTGAAACTCGAAAAATTAGAATATCGTGCAAAAGTTCATTTATTTCAGTAATACAACTTAAAAGGTGAAACTAATATATGAGATAGACTCATGACATGCAAAGCAAGATAGTTCAAGCCATGATTTGTCATAATTGTGATGATTATGGCTTACAGCTCATGAAAACCTCAAATCCTTCAGCTCTTCTGATGGATGGGTCCCTGCATGTCTTTTTATTCACTGTTATCATCCCTTCCATATGGGGAATAGGGCCCATTCAACTGGCAAGCCCCAGGTGACTGATAGTCTTAGTGGGATTCCAGGGAGACCTTAGGGATTTTTGCAGTTCAGTTCAGGCCTAGTCACTACCTGTAAAGGCAGGCACCCGGGGCCTTGGATCATATTTGCTCCTAAACAGCCTCTCCTTGTGTGCTGGTCCTAGGGTGTACCTTAGTTTACCAAACAGCACCAGGATATGAAGAACTAGAAAAACCATGGTCTTCCTTTGAAGAAGAATGTGAAGTGATATTTGACCAGACACAGCTAGAAGCTGGTATCATGAATTATTTCATGGTGAAAAGAGTAGCAAAATGTCAATTATTTTTCCTGTCTTTATTTCATCTCATAGCCATTCAGCCGCTCTGTTTCGAGCAGTGGTTCCCCAAATGGGTGGTACCGCCCCCTGGGGGGCTGTGGGATGCCTTAGGAGGGCGCTAAGAGGCAAGGGGGCTGGCAGGGGGGCACTAAGAGGCGGCAGGGGGGCGCTGGTGGTGGGTCCCTCGCAGGGCATAATTCAGGAACCAGGATTCTACCGGTTCATTACCGTTCCCGGTAGTTTGGAGAACCGGTAAAACGGGCCCCTGGCTGGCCCTGCTCCTCTCCGCCCACTCCTCCGTTCCCTGCCCAGTTAGTCCTTATTGCGCATGTGCAACATCACATGCATGCGCAACAATCGCTGACGGCCACAGCGGCGCGTTGGAGAAGCAGAACAAGAAAAGCCGGAGGTTAGTTACTTTTGCTGCAAAAAGCATCCAGACGCCATGTATTTTTTGGTGCAGCTGGAGTCCAGCCGCACTGAAAAAAAAACATGCATCTGGAGGCTTTTTGCAGTGAAAATTACTGACCTCCAGCTTTGCTCTGCTTCTCCAATGTGTCACCACCTCTGTGTTCTAGGCACTGGCCATGAAGGCTCATCCCATTGACTGCTGCATCACTCAGCTCGGACTTGCTTGGGCAAGTCCCTCCAGTGCAGCGGGCTCAGTGGGGTGGACCTATGGGGCCGGAGCCTAGAATACGGCCGCAGCGGCGCATTGGAGAAGCAGAGCAAAGCCGGAGGTTGGTAATTTTCATTGCAAAAAACCTCCAAACGCCGTGCGTTTTTTTGGGTGAGGCTGCAGTCCAGCCGCACCAAAAAAAAAAAAAAACCCACGCGGCGGCTGCAGGCCTTCGTGACAAGGGTGATGTGGGACCAGTGACAACAATAGCTCAGCCCTGGCTTGCCTTCCCTGGCAGCCAGCCACGGAGGAAGGTAAAGTCACGGCCGTGGGACGATGAAAGAGGTTTCCTTGTGGGGGAGGAAATGGGGAGATTAAGGGCCAGGGCCTCTGAAAGGGGAAACGGGGTGATGCAGGATTAGCCCAGGCCTCTGACAGATTAGGTCATGCCTACCTGGGCAGAAAATAGGTAGATAGGTTAAGGAAAGAATAGAACAAGAGGGAAAGAGAGAGAGGGAACAAGAGAAAGAGAGAGAAAAGAGAAAAAAGAGGGAAAGAGAGAAAGAGAGAGAAAAGAGAGAGGGAAAGAGAGAAAAGAGGGAAAGAGAGAAAGGGAGAAGGTAAAGACAAGAAAGTAAAGAAAGAAAAAGCCAGAGAGAAAGGAAGAGAAAGGAAGAAAAGGAATAGACAAGAAAGAGGGGGGAAGGAAGGGACAGAAAGAAAGAGAGAGGGGAGAGAGAGAAAGAGAAAAAAAGAGAGAAAAAGGGAATGAGAGAAAGAAAGAGGGAGGGAGAAGAAAGCGAATGGGATATGGAGGGAGAGGGGGGAAGAGAGAGAGATAAGGACAAGACAAGAAAGAAAAGAAAGAAAAGGGAAAGAAAAAGGGAAAGAAAAAGGACAGACAAAGAAGGGGGGTGGAAGGGATAGAAAAAAGAAAAAGAAGAAAGAAAGAAAGAAAGAAAGAAAGAAAGAAAGAAAGAAAGAAAG